ACACCCAAACCCCTCATTCTGGCCAAGGGTTCTGTCTGACAGACATGTTAACCGGCCATTACAGTTATCCACACACGCCCCTCTCACTGTTGTGGGTGAACTAGGGGCTTCCCCCAGTGTGTTGTGCCCGGATAGGGCAATGGACACTTTTCACAGATGCAGGCAATACGAAAGCGTTATCAGTTTTCGTTAACTATGGTGAGAGAGTTTTGGGCAACGGCCTATCTGACCGGACTCTCACATTACATGGTGGACACTGTTACTGCAGCATTTCGGCTGGTCCGCTAGCCTTTGTCTTTTGCTGTGGTGGCACATTCTACTGGAGGAGTCATACCTGGATGATTGGATAGTCTGCCCCATCCAGGGAACAGGTCACAACGGACACGAGGACCCTCTTGAACCACATTTGAGTTCTGGGCCTCACCCTAAACGAGGAGAAGAGTCACCTGACCCCCTCACGGAAGGTGATCTACCTCGGGATGTCCATAGACTCGACTCTCATTAGGGCACTTCTCCCTCAGGTGAGAGTAACAAAGTCCTATCCTACCTCAACTGTTTCCGGCTCGGACGAGCCATGTCGGTGTTAGAGTGCCAACAGTTACTCTGCCTACTGACGGTGGCTTCACTGTTGGTTCCGCTGGACATTCTCCATCAGGCCACTCCAACGATGGTTCAACTCCCACGGCCGGCACCCAAAACAACACAGACACCGTCAACTGTTGGTGATGAGTGCATGTTTGAGGACCCTATCGAAGTGGCTATCCTGCTCCTTCCTGTTAAAGGGGGTGAGCCTGATCAGAGTCCACCGCAGAGAGCTGGTGTGCACTGAAGCCTCTCTGAAGGGTTTATGTGCCGTGTTCATAGGCAGCTGGCCGCTGGACCCCCATGGAGTGGTCAACACATCAATGTGCTGGAGCTCAGGGTGGTTTGCCTAGCTCTTCAACAGATCCAGCCCACACTCAGGTGGTGCTACAGCTTTGGGACAGGTTTGGGAGAGCACAGATGGACCTGTTTGCATTTCAGGAGAACACTCATTGCCCCAGCTGGTTCTCGATTTCGAACCCTATGGGTCTGGACGCCCTCGCTCACGATTGGCCGGCAATGCCGCTTTACGCTTTCCCACCATTTCCCCTGATCACAGCTACACTAGACAGGGTCATCTTGATTGGCCACCAGCTGCTCTTGATAGCTCCATGCTGGCCGAGACCACCATGGTTCAGTCTTCTGTTGTCTCTCCTCTCGGGGACACCATGGCAGCTGCCCCTGAGGCCCGACCTCGGTGGCATCTGGACCCGCACCGCCTCCAGCTTCGGGCTTGGCCTCAGAGGCGTTAGTGGACCAGTCTAGGCCTACAGGACAATGTGGTGAACACGTTGTGGGGCGTCATGGTTTCTTCCACCAATGCATCATATCAAATGTGATGTGGCATATTCTGTACCTGGTTTGAGAGCCATTTGTGCAAACGGTTTTTACAGTTTTCTTACATTACACAGACACAGGCAATATGACAGTCTGATCGGCTATTCGTTTGCTATGGTGAGAGACTTCTGGGCCAGAGCCTCTCACATTGGATTGTGGACACTATTACTATAGCATATCGGCTGGCCAGCCGTCCTCTGCCGTCTGCTGTAGTGGCACATTCTACTAGAGGAGTAGCTACATTGTGGGCACTGCTCCGAGGAGTTCCCCTCAAGGCACTATCGAGTCATTGTTGCCCCTGCCAATGAGGTCGGAACGGCTGTGCTAGGTGTTGCCTCCACTTCCTTGAGTGGGGACGGAGGGACATAGCAACTATGACTGCCCTGAGCTCAGTCCTACGGGACTTTGCTCTCTGTCTGGCCCTTACCTAGTTCACCGATTAATCTGGTATTGTGATACCATATTAGAGTGATCCAATTTAGTGCTACATAACGAAGGTTACATATGTAACCACGGTTATGTGAGCTATTGGATCACTACAATCCTCTTTGTCGGTGATCAACGGCGCCTCGAAAAGGACACAAGGTGGAAGTAGTGTGCTGGCAGCTATTTAAGGGAGTCAGCTGCAGCACTAAACGGTACACAGGACTAATCTAAAATTCTTACTCGGAATGTATCCTGCCGTGCGGAAGGATACCATATTGAAGTGATCCAATAGCTCACATAACCGTGGTTACTAATGTAATCTTAATTTCCCATCTCCTCCAAAAGTATCTGTGTACACTATTTTATCACAGTTTCTAAACCTAGAGGCGCAACATCGCGAGACTTCCGGGAACGCTTGAGAAACAGACCAAGCAGATGCAGACCAGGCCGGGGTTTGGGATTTGAGAATTCAATGAGAGAAGTGAAAAATTCTTCCTTAGTTGTTAATTTTCTCGAAATCTAAAGGCACAACCTAGAGTTGAGCCAACTTGTTATTACTCCAACCTTGTGAAAGTGACAAACTGACACGTTTTCATTTTAGCCAAAAACAACTTTATATCAAAGTAGTGACTTTGATTTGATGGCCTGCACATGCGCAGTTCGGAACGAGACGACCGTTAGACCCGATTATGTGTTTCTGCGCATGAGTTTAGCTAGCCAATGTCGCCTTGACATCGCCTACAAGTGTGATCAGGGTTTTACATTTTAGTCATTTAGCAGACACTCTTATCCAGAGCGACTTACAGTGAGTGCATACATTATTTTTTTTCATACTGGCCCCCCGTGGGAATCGAACCCACAACCCTGGCATTGCAAACGCCATGCTCTACCAACTGAGCTACATGGAGAAGCAGTTTCTGCCTGTACTGTCTTTGATTTTATTCTCTCACGCATCTCTTCCTTGTTTGGGTGTGTCGTCACGTCCTTGTTTAGCCGTAGATGGCTATTACCAGCTCATTGCCCTCTACTGTCCCGGGGTAATATTGCCGATTTCCCCCCTTTTTTTATTTTTTCAAGCGAACTTCTAAGGGAATTTGTGAGCACACTCGTTCACAGGGTTGCCATGTCCGCAGTTTTCGGACAATTGGGCTACTTTGAAAACAATGTCGCGGGTGAAAATGTATTGGTCACGGGTTGCGGGTTTTTGGGCTACTTTTAAATTGCACTGAGGCCGCCATATACAGTATATTTTACTGTGACCTGCTGCTACCGACTATCAGGTAGTAAGCAAGCAGGCTGTTACTGACTGAGTGAGTGGTGTGGAGGGGGAGGGCCGGAGGGGTGTGTGTGTGTTCAGAGCACTGGTTGAGAGAGCGCTGCAGCAGACAGCTGAGCCATGGAGATAGAGTAGCACGTGATAATTTTTTACAAGTTGTAGGTAGGCTATTTAGATTGGTCATTATGGAGATACCTATTTCCAACCCTTTCTCCATAAAACATATTAATGATCTAGAACTGATATAGAGGCAACAAAGCACTGGAAAACGACTTTAGGCGCACTAGAGCGCTTTAGATAAATTTGCTCAGTGTGGACTTTTCTTATGGAAAACATAATCAAGCAAAGGGTTTTACTCATGCTAAGTTCTTGGGTCTCAAGTGCTGTTCGAGTGGAAACTCCCTTGCATGCTACTGACATTAAATGTGGAGAATGATACATTTGCATCTGTTGGCCATCAAGTAGGCTATTAATTTCTATGCCATTGTAGGCTACTGCAGCCTACCATTCGATACAATAAAGATGTTGATATGACGATTTCACTGGAGTCATTGAAAACCAATTTGTGCCACTTGTGTAGCCTACCTGGAGCTGGCAAACGGATTGAATGAATAGCCTATAACTTCAGCCATGTTTAGTTAATTAAATTGGAAGTTATCAATTGTGATCATGGTCACAGCTCTATCGCAAATGTATCATTCTCCACATTTAATGTCAGTTTCATTGTGGACTTTTCCCTGAAATGAGATGTTGGCCTATCAGGGGCTAGGCTACCTGCATCTAGCTCAACAAACCATGGCAAAGTTGAATAGCAATTATAAACCCAGATTTGAGTCAGTAGCCTATGCCTATTGACATTAGCCAATCTCGCAAATAGGCTATTTATAAATGTCCGTAGTCTTAACATCTGGCACATAACAATGGCACAATTGCCAGAAAATAGCCTAACATACGTTTTTTGAAATTCGTCCAAGTATTTATTGAACAGAGATTTCGAGGTCCTCTGTTCAACTTTCATCACTCAAACTCTCCTGTCGGATTTAGCTATAGTTATGCACATGTGCAAACAGGTTTTATTTACAATTATAAACTAGGTGGTTTGAGCCCTGAATGCTGATTGGTTGAAAGCTGTTGTATATCAGACCGTGTACCACTGGTATGACAAATTATAGGTAGAAGCTAATAACAAGATATATATGCTATCTTATTGAACAAGCAACTTAACTCAAATAATGATGTGTGCGCTAGCTCTCCAGCTTGTTGTGCTGCTTGGCTGGCCTGCTGCTGCCTGTGCACGAGCTGAGCGCCTGCTGCCGACGTCACTCACAATGCACTTTTGCGGCCAGGCACGTGTTGTGACTGAGTGTGTGACAGAGAAAGTCGTTTCTGTGTAATTTTTAGGGAAAATGCGTGCATTTTAGCGTTTGAGTGACTTTTCAAAAGTTGTTAAAAGTTCAAAAGAGATTTTTAAAAGTAGCTACATGTGTTGCTAGGTGCTGTTTGAAAAATAAGTTGTAGGGTAGTCTGAGAAGTTGCTAAATCTAGCAACAAAATTGCTAAATTGGCATCACTGTCATTGGGCAATACATTTTAGCTTGACCTGGCAACCCTGCTCGTTCGGTACTCTGCTCGACACCAGCCGAATCGAAGCATGCTGACCTATTTAAGGAGACTACGTTCCAGTTTTGTCTGCGTGCAGTAGCGTCTTTGTCAAGGTGAGTGAGGTTGAATAAATCCCAATTTTTTTACACAAATTAAATGTTGTACTTCGAAAAGTATCTAAACATGTTTGCTCATGTAAGCGATGCCATGTCTGTGAATCCTGATTCTAAATTATTTCAGAAGAGAAATGCAGACTTCGATTTTTCATGATTGTTCACTATTTGATCCACAGTTAATGGACATGCCCAAGGCAACACGAATTCTGTTAAGTAACAATATCAACCAAACCGGGAAATGTCAAAACGCAAAGAGAGCGCCATGTCACGGTGAGACTATTAATAACTGGGGGCAATAAATAACTGTGGCAAAAAAGGAGAGTGTTGTTGGATTACTTTACGAAGACAACAGAGGGCAGTGTTGACAAAGAATCCAAGGTTTTCAATAAAGGCTGTTCAATAAAAGGTTAAAGTTGGATAGGCACTCTGTATCTACAACTTTGTAATTTTATATACTGATTAGCCTGAATTCAATAGTAAAGCTCCTAACTGAAGCCCTCTTTGTTTACAGATCAGAGTTAACAAGGGAGCTCTTGGGCCGGTACATCTCAGACACCCTCAGCCACATTCACACAGTGAGGGAGTTCTGCGACAGGCATTCCAAATGGGCCCTTCAGAGGGAGACAGAACTGGAAATGATGAGGGACATCAAGGAGAGGGCAGACAGAATTGACCTTAAGTTCGACCATGTCCGTAACTCGGCGACCAAGGCCAAGGCGTTTGGGGAGTTCGTATGGAGCGGTCTGACCCAGGTGACTGCAGACAGTAGGCGTGAGGAGCTGGAGAAGGAGCTGGGTGCTGTACTAAAGGACACTCTGGGAGGCCTGGAGAAGCTGGATTACTTCCTGGATGCTATGGAGTGTCTGGCAGTCACCTGTCTGTTCGTGTTTGAGGAGAACAGGTTCCTCTGTCTGCCTCTGGGGACGAGCCCTGCCAGTGTTCAGGCTGTCATCATTGCTGCCAGAATAGCCTGCCCTCTCCTCATCCACTTTAAGAGGGATGCTAAGGCCTTCTTTATGCCCAGCCTGCTCAATGTAGAGGTGCTGGCCTTCCAGCTGGATAGATACATACAAATCAGCCAGCAGCTCTGTAAGAGGATGGAGAAGCGGTAAGTGGAGCTCCCATCACAATTTCTTCAACATTAACTTATGTAATGTTCTTCATTGCCATTTTACAAACACATGATGTCAATTTTTTCCTTCTAGATTACAGATCAGACCACAGCCTGAGAGTAAACTTGGGTAAGATCCCTCACACAGTTTTAATATCAGCATTCATTTTATATTAGCATAGTTGTACTATTTTCCTTTCATTTTTGTCCTTCTCAGATGTCATTTGACAAGGTTATTTGGCTTATGTGATATAATTCCAATGCCACATAACAATGTAATGAATATAATGTAATGTTGAAATTAATATGCATTGTTACAGTAGCTACATCAGTGAAATGCTGTTTTGGAAAAAGAAGAATTACATCCCTGTGGTCAACCTTGGTGATGTGAGGGAAGAGTCCATACAAAATATGCTCCAACATTTGAATCAGCTGAGTGATATCAGGTAGGTTATTCTGCCATGGTTTGGTTCTTCTCTTAAAACCTATGTTGACATTTTTTAACAAGATTCAAGAACTAGTCTATTGGAATACAGTAAATAGATATCTTCCCCCTCTGTCAGGATGGACCAGCACCTCAGACTGACGTTCCTGTTCCAAGAGGCTGCTCAGTGCTTCATTGGCCGGTTCAGCCAGCGCCGACCCAGGATGGAGCAGTTTCTGACCAAGCTGGAGGAGAGTGCTGTGCAGCTGGACAGGATGAAGCTGGGGGCTAAGATCTCCAGTGTGGCAGGCAGCTCAGTGGGGGTGGCTGGAGGGATCCTAACCATCGTGGGCTTAGCTCTGACCCCTGTCACTGCTGGGGTGTCAATGGCTCTCACTTATGCAGGGGTCAGCCTGGGGGTCACCAGTGGGGTCAACAGTTTAACCACTGGCATCACAGAGATGAACGTCAATAGCATCCATGAGAAGAAAGCCAGTAAAGTCTTCCAGAGTTTCATGGAGGACGTGGAGAGTCTCCAGGAGTGTCTGGAGGATGTGGCCAGGAATATGGAGCCCATCCTGGGGCAGAGCAGGGTGGACATGGTTGGAGCAGGGAAGGTGATTGCCACCACTGGGGCCATCGGAAAAGGCATTGACTTCCTAGTTGACCTTTCCTCAGGTTTGAAGCCGGTGAAAGTCCTTAGAAATGAAGATCTGATCACAAGCGCTGGTAAGTTGGCGCTCCAGGAAGGCAAAGCAGCACAAAACCTGCCCAAGCTAGCAGGGGACATCCCGGGCATTGGACAGGTGGCCCCACTAGCCCTCTCCAAGTCAGCGCGGGCTGGTCTCATCAGCATCAACGCCCTCTTCATTGGCCTGGATGTCTTCTTCATCTGTAAAGACAGCGTCGGCCTGGCCAAAGGCAGCAAGAGTGAGAGGTCTCAGCTCATCCGTGCCAGATCAGCATTGTGGCGCACAGAGCTGGACTCCTGGCAGAGGATCCATGACTCGCTGTGTAGAGGTCAATTCATGTTAGAGAAAAGCCAGATTGTCCTGGAGCAGCCATTTTACCCTCTGGAGGAGAAGCGGAGAGGGAAAAACTCCATGTGTATGACGCAGTAAGACAACGTCAATGACTTAACAGTCTTTTAAGTTAGGGCCTCTCAAACAAACTGTACAGTGGCACTTAGAATGTTCAACAATTAAACATAAAGAGATGACACAAAGCACTTTTTCCATTTTCATCAATCATTCTGTACACAAGTCTAATTTTATAATCAACTTTACAATTGAATGTTATAATAAATGAAACTATCTGGGCAATTTAATGAAATGTATTCAGCTTGGCACTTATTCAAAGTAGTCTGTTAATTATCATGGCCTGATGTTTCCAAAATATGTGTTCCGTGTAGTCAAAATACTGAAATGAAATGTAATTTTTCTATAATTGTGCTGCTGACATGTACCTTCATGCACAGAAGACTCATATTCCTCACTTCACTGGAAGTTGAAGACGTCTTGCAATGGGACAGATCGAAATTTACTGGGGGGGAGGGGCTGGTCCGACTCAAGGTGTCCCCCCCAAAAAAATCACCCTCCCCAAAGTTACAAATATTTTCACATGACCCTCCCCTTGTACTGAAAAATAAATGGAACACCTTCCCCCCTCATAGAATTAACTCTAAATAATATTTATGACCACAAATAACAATAACTGTAGCGAGCCTGTGTTTATAATTGTGGATATTGACTGTGCCACTTCAGCATGCTTTTGTGGCACAGTCGATGCCACACAGTTCTACGGGCCAGAAGGTTGAGGGTTCGCTGACCACCACAGACAAGCTCACTCTCCCTGCCTGTTTCATTACACTACGATCAGAGCCAGCTGCAGAAAATAATCAGCTAGGGCTGAATCAGATTTTCAAAATGTTTATGCCATATTTATAATTATATAAAACATATGCAACCAAAAAAATCCACCAACAGGTTTCTGTGCCAATGACCACAAAATCAATAAACAAAGCATACCAACTTCGGGCACTTCAATATCATGGTTTGCGTTTTCAACACCACAATAAATAGACCATGTCAATCTCGACAAACAGAAAATACATTCCTCCCTATGTTGTAGGCTTACCCAGTGTTAAAGGCTTGGCTTGACAATCTCCAAATGTCATTCAACTTTTTGGTGTTTTGTAACAGATGTCTCTTTCCATTCATCAATTGGCCGCTGCTCAATTTGGATTTATTTATTTTATTTGTCAGTTAAAAAAATACTGTACAGTGCATTCGGAAAGTATTCAGACACCTTGACTTTTTCCACATTTTGTTACGTTACAGCCTTATTCTAAAATTGATAAAATACTATTTTTTTTCTCATCAATCTACACACAATACCCCATAATGACAAAGCGAAAACCGTTTTTTAGAAATCTTTGAAAATGTATAAAATATAAAAAACAGAAATATCTTATTTACATAAATATACAGACCCTCTGCTATGAGACTCGAAATCGAGCTCAGGTGCGTCCTGTTTCAATTGATCATCTGTATCGATGTGTTTCTGAGTGATTGTTTACGACACTCTTTTACGACACCTGTGATATATGTGTGGCAATGGCGGAATAACATTAAAGACTTGTTAACTATGATTGATGGTGATAGTCGTCTTTGCTCGCTGTAACAAACAAAGTAATACATGATACCAGGAGTGGAAATCGTGTTTTTTCTGTGAATGTTGGAGTTTATGGAAGTGCAATGGATGTTATCAAGCCACCAGAGGCTTTGAGCCTGGATGGGAATGTGGACGCGAATTGGAAAACAGTTCGGCAGCTGTTTTTGCTGTATATGTCTGCTATTGGAGTTACAAAGGAGCCAGATGAACGTAAAGTTACTCTCTTTCTTACTATAGCGGGACCACAGGCAATCGACATATTCAATACCTTCACGTTTCCAAATGAGGAGGATAAAGATGAGTTCGTGGAGGTACTGGGTCAGTTTGATATATATTGTTCACCTAAGAAGAACGAGACATATGAACGTCGTGTGTTTCCCTGTCGTATACAACAGCAAGGTGAAAAGTTTGACGTCTTTCTTACAGATTTGAAATTGAAAGCACAGACGTGTAATTTTGTAGACCTAACCTCCTCTATTCTTCGACATCAGATTGTGTTTGGTATAATTGACTCCAGAGTTAGAGAAAGATTGCTGCGGGAAAGTGAGTTACATTTGGACGCTGCAGTAAAAATGTCAGGCGAATGAGCTGGCACAATTGCATATTGAAACCTTTGCCACATACACCTGTGGTATATGTGTGGCAATGGAGCAATAACATAAAAAACGTGTTAACTATGATTGACCGAGTGGCGCTAGAGATCCTGGTTCGAATCCAGGCTCTGTCGTAGCCGGCCGCGACCGGGAGACCCATGGGGCGGCGCACAATTTGCCCAGCGTTGTCCAGGGTAGGGGAGGGAATGGCCGGCAGGGATGTAGCTCAGTTGGTAGAGCATGGTGTTTGCAACGCCAGGGTTGTGGGTTCGATTCCCACGGGGGGCCAGTATGAAAAAATTAAAAATTCATGTATGCACTCACTAACTGTAAGTCGCTCTGGATAAGAGCGTCTGCTAAATGACAAAAATGTCATTGATGGTGATGGTCGTCTTTGCTCACTGTAACCAACAAAGTAATACATCATCCATTTCTACAACTTGATTGGAGTCCACCTGTGGTAAATTCAATTGATTGGACATGATTTGGAAAGGCAGCCACCTGTCTATATAAGGTCCCACAGTTGACAGTGCATGTCAGCGGAAAAACCAAGCACTGAGGTTGAAGGAATTGTCCGTAGAGCTCCGAGACAGGATTGTGTCGAGGCACAGATTTTGGAAAGGGTACCAAAAAAAATTCTGCATTATTGAAGGTCCCCAAGAACACAGTGGCCTCCATCATTCTTAAATGGAAGAAGTTTGGAACCACCAAGACTCTTCCTAGAGCTGGCCGCCCGGCCAAACTGAGCAATCGGGGGAGAAGGGCCTTGGTCAGGGAGGTGACCAAGAACCTGATGGTCACTCTGACAGAGCTCCAGAGTTCCTCTGTGGAGATTGGAGAACCTTCCAGAAGGACAACCATCTCTGCAGCACTCCACCAATCAGGCCTTTATGGTAGAGTGGCCAGACGGAAGCCACTCCTCAGTAAAAGGCACATGACAGCCCGCTTGGAGTTTGCCAAAAGACACCTAAAGGACTCTCAGACCATGAGAAACAAGATTCTCTGGTCTGATGAAACCAAGATTGAACTCTTTGGCCTGAATGCCAAGCGTCACATCTGGAGGAAACCTGGCACCATCCCTACGGTGAAGCATGGTGGTGGCAGCATCATGCTGTGGGGATGTAACGTAACGAAATGTGGAAAAAGTCAAGGGGTCTGAATACTTTCCGAATGCACTGTATACACAAAGATTGTTTATGCCCTGATATCAGGAGCTGGTGGCAAAAAGTTATATTAAACAATTCAGAGACTGAAACGAATACATCAGATGACAAATATTTAAGGAGAGCAAATCGATATACAATCCCGAAATCAGCTGTAACTGTAAATAGTCAAACAAATCTTAAAACTATGTTTGAGTTAACCTTAATCCAGAAAATGAATAGCAAAGTTGCTTCCGGACACGGTCGACTCCTCCTCCTCACCACTCTATAGCCTACTAGGCAACCTACAGTGGTGGATCGGGATGGGCATTCCACTTACCTTTCCTCTATCCTGTGTTAAGTTGCGTCAATTCAAATCTGGTATTAGGAACAAAAGAGGTCAATACACGTCTTCTAAAATAGACTAGTATTTTAATTAATGCAAAACCTTCAATGGTAAATATGATGTTCGGATATACGGGTCCACTGAAATACCACGCAGGGCACTCAGAGAACTAAGCCATTGTTATGAGTTCTTCTTAAAATACTCTGACAGAGATAGTTCCCACTCCCTGCTAGCCAATCAGAGTAGAGACTGAGCGTGGTTTATACTTACTCAGCCAATCCGTTGGCGCACCGGCTGGTCCCAGCCCCTTGGCGCTCCACTGTTGCACACTGTTGCCAGGCATACGTTTTTATCATAACAACCTGTGGAGTCAGCACCCAAAAGACACCGTTCCACTGTACTCTAAGTACCTACGTTCAAGGACGGTTCACAGACAACGGTTCACAGACAACAAAGAGGCAGTGTTCGTATCTGTGAGAAATACAAGTCTTATCATCCTACCCCCTAACGTTCCTCACATGAATCACAGCTTGTTATGTGAAACAATTCATATCAGTACAGTACAAACCTTTTATGTTTTAATCATTAATGCATTCCTTCTAAGCTATTCATCCCTCCAGTTATGAGAAAATAGATCCCCACACCTGTCACAAAGCTCCTGGCTGATTTGTATGCATCTGTCCAGCTGGAAAGTCAGTACTTCTACATTGAGGAGGCTGGGCATAAAGAAGGCCTTAGCATCCCTCTTAAAGTGGATGAGGAGAGGGCAGGTCATTCTGGCAGCAATGATGACAGCCTGAACACTGGCAGGGCCCGTCCACTGATGCAGACAAACTGACAGGTGACCGCCAGGCACTCCACAGCATCTACGAAACAGTCTTAACTTCTCCATCCCCCCAGTGTCCTTCATTACAGCCCCCAGGTCCTTCTCCTGCTCCTCAATCTTACTGTCTACAGTCACCTGGCTCTGGCCATTCCATAACTCCCCAAACGCCTTGGCCTGTGCCTTGGCATTGCCCTTATATTTGATGACATGGTCGAACTTCAGGTTGATTCTGTTGGCCTTCTCCTTGATGTCTTTCATCATTTTTGCTTCTGTCTCCCTCTGAAGTGCCCATTTGGAAAGCCTGTCAGAGAATTCCTTCACTGTGTGAATGTGGCTGTGTGGGTGTTTGAGAAGTATTGAACTAATAACCCCCTCATTTACTCTCTGAGAAAATAGAACCTTAGTATTAACTTTTAGAAAATTATTTTCACCTGGTATTCGTGATGATGCGAGCTCTCTGCTGCTCTCTCGTCACGTCGAACTACCTTTTATTAATTTCCCACAAGTGCCAAGTTGCCTAGTAACATTTCAATTTCTACAAACGTATTGCCGTTGCATTAAACTAATCAAATCAAATCAAATCAAATTGTATTGGTCACATGCGCCGAATACAACAGGTGCAGACATTACAGTGAAATGCTTACTTACAGCCCTTAACCAACAGTGCATTTATTTTAAACAAAAAAAGTAAAAATAAAACAACAACAACAACAAAAAAGTGTTGAGGAAAAAAAAGAGCAGAAGTAAAATAAAGTGACAGTAGGGAGGCTATATATACAGGGGGGTACCGTTGCAGAGTCAATGTGCGGGGGCACCGGCTAGTTGAGGTAGTTGAGGTAATATGTACATGTGGGT